CGCTATCAAAATCAGAACATCTATGTTAATACTGTAAGTTAAACAGGGCACTGACAACATTAGTATCATGCATACCTTAGCACTTAAGTTTTCTGTTAATACAATGAATTACCTATAAAACTTGCTGCTAACCTTCCCTACCAAAGTAAAAAAATGAGATGAAGATTAATACCACCATTTAAAGCTAAAGGAGCTTGGTGAGCTCTGCTGCAAAACAATTTTTGAAATGTTTTTACTAATTGAGTTAAAACACACAAACATAAATAATAAAAGTGACAGTAGCTATAGTATAAAAATACACTTTTCTTCATCAATCTTTTGTCTTTGGTAACTTTTATAAAACTTTCTTCAACTTTCGCTTTTTATCTATATCCCTTTAAAAATTTTTTTCTTTTGTGGACTTCAGAAATGCAGTTCATGGCATGAGCACCTTCATACACACAGCTGTTCCTAGAACTTCCATTGAGTAGTCCTTCACCTGAAAGAAAGAAGTCACACAAGAAGTTTGGCATAAAAGTAACCCCTCATAAAGGAAATAACCTTTGTAGTTCTTCAGAAAAAGGGACTTGATTCTCTTAGAAGTTGAAGAAGAGAGACTAGTGTCAAGAAGATATTCCTTATATATCTAGGCTTCAGCTCTTGTTTCTCAGAATTCTGCTATCAAACTGTCCTTGGAGTCATTGGCTGCTGTGTTCATGAAGAAACAAATTCACAGTTCTCACGAGAAGGTTATTTATGCTCTTCTAGGATATGAGAGATGAGCATGATTATGATACAAAGTAAGAATGGACTTGAACAGCATTTTCAAAAAAGTTGAAATAAAATACTAGTAGTGCAAGCCCTGTGATTTTGCAAATTCAACATATCTTTGTCAGCTGATGAGAAAATGTGTAGTCGAATATAACTTCAAAAAAACAAACAAACAGATATTTGTTGACTCAGAATCTTACAAGTTCTTCTTCCTAGTAATAATCTATGATGGGATTCTACCCTCAGATGATTACAAAATGATGTTCTTTCATGTTGCTTATAAAGTTCTTCTGTAATAAAAAAAAAATCTCGTATACTTTACAATAGACATGTTTAAATGAAATTCCTTGTGGGTAAGAAGAGTCATCAACTGCAGATGCAAGGGGTCAGAAGTAAACAGTAAAAAAAAAAAAAAAAAATCACACAAAGTCATGCTCAATTATCCAAGTTTGTCTTCCTTTTGAGGCAGTTCTTTTACTAGAGATACACAAAGTACTTAAATTAGCAACTTGCATTAAATCATAATACAACATACTCCCAACTTCCCTTTACCTATACAATCTTGAAGATGGGTAACGATGACCAAGCTGTTCAGAAATTGTTCAAGGATCACAACTCATATTTTCAGCAATTTCTTTGGCCTAATATGCATCAGCTTTCCTTAATTTCCTACCATTTATCAAATTATAAGTTCAAATAATCAAATAAATGTTTATACATTTTTCAAATGCAAAACAAATATCTATCCAACAATTTTGCAAGGCTTATTTTTTTTTTTATTTAAATAAAAGAGGAGAAGAATTCATACACAAGACCCTGCAAAGGAGAAAGAAGGTACATATCTTTCATGCCTTTAAGGAAGAATTAGCACTAGAATACACTTAAGAGCATTAAACTACAGTATTCTATCTGAAAGAGAGTTGAATATTAAAAAATTCTTGTGGGACTATTACTATGATAAAAGAAACACCATTTTTAAAAAACTTAGGTTTAACTTTAACACAGAGCCATTAAAGATAGTTCAGTTAGACAGTAAGTGTCAACTTCCATGAATAGGTCTCTTTAAAAAAAAGTGAGTTTTTAAAAACACTGCTTAACAGCAAAATTGTTTTTTATAAAAGGTTTGATATATTTTTGCAGATTTCAAAAGAAACGAAACAATTTGCAAGTTTTTCTTCTAAATTTGGGCCTGCTAGAACAGCGCTGGTCACAACTGCTTTCTGGATTGTATACTTTTACCAACAAGGCTCAAAGCACAGTATCTGTTCAGAAAATATCATGAATCTTATGTTGAAAAGATGAATGACTAAACCAGAGTAGGTTTCTATGTATTGAAAAAAAAAAAGCCAATGGACAGGTCTCATAAAATGACACCAAACTTCAAGAAGGCATTAAAGAGTTACAGAGTAGATCAGTTTCTATGAAATGCCTCCTTTACCAAGAGCTTAAGCAGTGACTACAGATTCTCTGAATAGGCCTTGGAAATGCTACAGTGGCTCAGCTACAGCAGATAAATCCCTTCCACTGAAGTTTTAAATTCATCTACAGAAAAAAAAAATAAATACAACAGCGCTGAAGCAAAAGGAAGGCATTAGTTTGGACATAAAGAATGTTTCAACTCATGTGGCTTCAGGAGACAGGTACAAAAAATTAACATACCAGTTTCCATTTCAGACCCAATCATTTCTGCATCTATAATCTGAAATTGTAAAAGAAACCTGTGCAAAACTGGAAAACGTACCTTCCAGGTTCCTGATAAACAAGACAGATACAAGAACATATGCATATAGAGATAATACTGAAATGTTGATTTAACCTGCTCTACAGATTTTGTATGCTATTTAACAAAGGCAGGCAGAACAGAAGCTTAAATGCAATGTCAAGAAACTGCATGAAAACAAACAAAGAAAACTTCCACAAACCAAGACTCTTTTTCACACACTTCTGTAAGGAAAGACTTGAATTAAACACTGCACTTGTGATTGTGGGGGTCTTTTTGTTTGTTTTTTGTTGTTGTTTTTTCCCCTGGATACTTCTCCAGAATGCTCCTTTATACCTAGTTAGTACGAAAAATCTGTTACAAACAACAGACACTACAGGAACTCATCTCACACCACTGCTGGCTGATAATGAGACCTTTTCTCAGAAACCATTTATGGTTGTGGATGCCTAGAAACCTACCAAGAGGTCTTGCTTGTATAAGACAGAGAATCAATTTGTTTGGAAACTGTCTCTTTGGTGCTAAAAAAAAAAAAAAGAGAGGAACAAAACCAAGATGGAGGGTAGGAGAATTTGCATTCATTTCACACAAACTTCTCCATCCACATTATGGAATCAAAGCCATTTTTTCCAAAGAACTCTCAGATGAGACAAACTCAGACTTTAAGTTCTAAGGTTTCTTAGAAAAGCTTCCATAAATTTTCTTCTGAAAGCCCAAACAGATAGTTCTTTTTTTTTTTTTTTTTTAACCCCTTTTAACTTTTTTTTTTCCTTTTGATAAGTAAACTTCCATTTAGCTTTCCTGATTTTCACATTTCTCTATAAATATATGGGAAATTTGCAGAATGCTCAGGAAAAACTAGCTTGTCCTGTAAACACCTGACACTCCACCCCCATACTCAATGCTCAAACCCAAATGCACCCCCCACACAACACCAACTCCCTTTAATTGTGGTTTCTCATTTAAGAAAATCAAATTGCTGAAGCAGTATTATCTTGGGCTGCTGAGGACATCAAGAAAATGGAAATGAGAAGATGTACCTTTTTCAGAAATAGAAGAAAGCACAAAAAACAGAGGAGATAAGTGTTCCAGGGGCTCTAAAATGACCACAAATACATTATATTTCTCTTCTGACATCCCACTCATTCTCCCTACACTGTACACAATCTAGAAATTGCACAGTCATATTACCAATTTCTAAGCTGCTCCAATGAAAAGCAGCTCTTCTTAGCAGTACACTTTAGTGCTGTATTAGCTTGTCTTTCAAGAGTATGAACACTCCAGCACTAAGCAGGGAAGAAACACAAACAGTTGCATGTTTTTTTCTTGTTTGTACTAGGAATGCAGGAAGAGAATGTCCACTCTGGCAACATCTGCCATCACAGCATATTAAATATATCATGAAATTGTATCCATAATCCTAATCTTTGTTTACTTTCCTTTTAATATAGTAGTAAATCTGGTACTAATACTGCACTGCTCAACAAGTAAATACAGATGGGAATATCTATCTATCATCTATCTATCTATCATCTATCTATCTATCTATCTATCATCTATCTATCTATCATC